CTGTAATTAATCGACTCATATAGCAAGTTAGATATCCAGGTTAATAAAAAAAAGTGTATCACAAATTCAAGATTCTTAGGTATGAAATCCTGTCTAGTTGGTTCAACCAACCACCAAAAAGTGTATCACAAACTTCTTTCTAAATCAAATATTAATTAATTTTTATTTTTAATATTGTAATTCTATTCTTAGGTGAACAAAAATTTACCATAAATATAATCATTTAGTAATTATTATATTATATATTTTTGTGTTTGGTTTTACATGTTTATTATTATTAATTATTATAATAAATTAAAAAAATTTATTTGATTTTAGTATGTATAATTTTTGCTGAAAAACTTAAATATCATAATTAAAGGGACTTTAGTTTATCGACATCTATATTTGAGATCACGTGAGATCAGTCTGTTTTCATGAGATTTGTGATACCACTTTTTTACACTTGAAACTTCACAGCAAAACGTTGTGAATGACTGAAGATAACATTCACAGTGTTTTTCCTGTGAAAGTTCGGGTTTTTTTTTTTTTTACTTTCACAATGTTTTGATGTGAAATTTCAAGTGTAAAAAAATGGTTTAACGGATCTCACGAAAACAAGTTGGTCTCACATGAGCACAACCCTCAACATGTAGGTAAACAGTAAAGTCCAACCTTCTAGGGTGTCAGGTGTTTAGAACTTACTAATTGTAAGAAGGGTGCATGAGTTTATTTACTGTATATAATATTATGTATTTAAAAACTTAATCAGTCAAATATCAAATTTATAAAATTTGATCAGCCTTGAAAAAAAAAATATTATATATGTTGCGGGTTGTTCAAAATACTGGCTATACCTTTTCAAACAGTATTTTGTAACTGTGGGTATCTGAGTCAGTTATAAAAACAAACTCATTTCCCATGAATGCATAAATTACCTAGAGTCATCACAGGTGAATCTTTAAGCACTTTGATGACATACGGATTTGAACCCGAATAAGATTATCATTTCCACTAGATATCCTGGGATTTTCAGGCATTTATTTTCTCATGTTTTCGAGTCGGGAAGACAAGAAAAATATTACAATATTTAAATTAATATAAATAAAATTAATTTTAATTGAATTTTTTTTATTGAAATATTTATTTTATTTTTCCTAAATCCATTCACATTTTTTAATACAATTAAATTAATTGCCTTAAAATTGGTGGCCGCCAAAGGAGACACATTTTGCTTTCAAAGCGGACTTCACGCGCTTTTGTGAATTATGTGTTTTTTTTTAATCAAAATAAATAAAATCGATTGATATACACTTAGTAATGTTCATCAAAACCGTTAACTTGATTTCTATTTTAAGTGATGTATTTTTAAAACTTTCATTTTGGTAATTAAGATGTAAAGTTTTAAACATTTAAGTATCTAGATAAGTGATTGAAACATTAAGTGGTTAACATGCTGATGTGGTACCCAACTCAATATTATTTTCTATTCAACCCATTTTCATCTCATCACTATCCACATCAACATGATAACCGGTTAATGTTTCAACTTGTTACCCAATTATTTAAATGTTTAAAACTTTATATCTTAGATACCAAAATGAAAGTTTTGAAAGTACGTTACCCAAAATAAGAATCAAGTTAATATACATTATTTTTTCATGCAATTTGGCCTATAAACTTTCATACCATATTTTACCAGATAGCAAAGTACGATTAGAAAATATTTGTGTGGTTTGTCGTTTGTATTTTTTTTTTTACCAAACCTCATTATGCAATGCGGTTTGTGGTTTTGAGTTATCAAATCATGGTTCATACTGCATTGTACGACATCATATATTTTTTTATTTTTATATAATCGTAGCCAAATTTAGTTTGAAGCTTTATTTATTTTTTACTTCTTGAACTATTTTTAATTATGCAATATGTATTTGAGAATGGTCGTATTGAAACCTTGAATCTTTTTGGATTACAGTCACGTGGTAATGTATTTTCAAACTTATAATTATTGAGTTGTAGACAAAAAATGAGATAAGTACAAACCGCTTAAACCGCACTGTCCGCACCACATTTTTTTTTGCGCTTTGAGGTTTATGTGGTGCGGTTTGGGGAACCCCTGCTATGTATGCATAAGGTTATGCCATGATTGTACGTGGAATGGGTTGGTCGAGTTGAAAACATATGAATAACTCAATCTAACGTTTGTGGTTTGAAAAAATCTCACTCCAATCCAACCCAACTCAAACGGTGTGATTTGACTTAGGTTGGTCGGGTTGAAACTTTGGTATATCATTTTACAAGCTAGCTAACTGTTTGCGTTTAAAATAAGTAAAATCAAAATGATAACATATAAAGGTTAACAAACTCAAAAAGAAAATTGACGGTTCATACAAATAAGGAAATAAAATTGCAGTTGAAATTGTAATATGATTTTGAATATATCTAATCATGGGTTGGTCTAATGTACACACAATAATAATAAAAAAATCTAACAATCATATTAAATCCATAATATATAAAGACATCTGTTGGGTTCATATTACCCTGTCGTAATTTCAAATACAAAAAGTCCAAAAAACCAAAATAGGATTGGAGTAGATTTGAAATCAAAAATCCCCTAAATCCCTTTAATTCCTGCAAACTAAATGGGACATGAGGGTTTGTTTGGTTTGCATGATTGTTTTTAAGGGATTTGGATTTCATGGAGAGATTTGGATTGGAATGGATTTGATATTATTGTTGTGTTTGGTTTGTAGGATTTAAAACGAATTGGATTTCGTCATTTATAAATAATTTATAGAAAAAAATATAAAAATAATTGAATTACATTTGTATTAATCGATTATTATAAAACAAATGTTTTTTTTAACATTTTTTAAAGATCTTATTGCATACAATACTACGAAATCCTATGAAATCCTGAGCATTTCGTAAGGATTTCAAAATCCTATGTTTGAAGGGTTTCAATTAAATCATAGGATCTCAAATACGGAATCCAACAAACCAAACATGTAATGAATATGGTTTTGAAATGCAAATTCCCCTAAATCCATTTATTCCTTCAAACCAAACGCAGGACGACGTTTTTTAGGTAAATAAGATGAAACAATCGTATAAATCTGGTACACCATTTTTTTTTATTAACATGGATATCCAACCCACTATGCGAGCCGACTAATCTCATGACGACCACCTGTTTTGCAGGTAGCCCAGAGTCACCGCATTTGAATCTCCGTGGCCACAAGATAATTTTTATTTATCCTTGGATTTGAACCCGAGATCTTTAGACACTTTTTACATTTGGAGTCAAAACTCAAACCAATTAGACACCACCCTTATGAATCAAGTAAATTTTAAGTATTTTAGTTAACAAATATGACCCCTTAAACGTACCATAAATACTACGCCCTTTAGTTTTTCACACATTATCGAAAGTGACATGATCATGTGACCATAACATCATAGTACATCTATACTATATTATAAAACATTTGACAAAAACTCTTAAAAACTATTTTTTATGCATGAAGTATTGTTTATTGATACATATTACTTAAAATTCAATTTTACAAGTAATTTTGTGTAAGTACAACCTATTAAAGCTCCGTTTTTAAATTCGTGTAACTAACTGCAGATAAAC